TCTATCACTGTATGGCATTAGTTTCTTCGGCTTTCACTTTTATGTGGAGTAGATGGAATGGTGGTAGTGGTAAAGACTGCATTGTGATGAAGTTCTGCGAAAAAAACAGCACAGAAGATGAAGACATATCTGCACAGGTTATTTCTCTTTTTTGTTCAGTTCAAAACTCAAAAGGTTAAAATATCTGGTTGCAGAGAAGCAGACAAAATATTTAATTAAACCAGATTATTTATAGTTGGGGTGGAAACAAAAAATTTTTATTTGTTTCCATTTGACTTCTTTGTTAGGAAGCTAAAAAGTTAGGGAGGAAATAGTGTAAAATTATAACATTAGTAAGGATACACATACAATTCAGTTTTACTTGTAAGTCAGTACTAAAGTAATTATATAAATAAATCTTAATTATTCATATTTAGTTTTGTACTGCACCATGAATACACAGTTGAACCATACAGTTATTATTATTATAACCAGTTCCTTCTTTCTTTTATTTCTGCCCTTTTTATATTGGTCTTTTCTTGAATTCTCAGTCAGGTGTTATACATTCAAGCTCAGTGATGAATGTATATGTTGTGATGGACCAGACCTTGTGTTCTTTCCTTGCTTGGTAATTTCTGTTAGGACATGATCATCAGAGTTTTTGGTTCTCCTGATTTTATGCCGTATCATTCTGTTTGTGGATACTCAGTGTTTTAGCTGTGGGTGTATTATAAAAGTGATAGTCAATCCTATTATCCCTCTCTCCACGGACATCTTTTTAGTGTGTTATTATTCTGTGTTCTTTGGTGCATTATTTAATTAAATAAAGAATTATTTTGTGTAGTACTACCATTAGTATAAAAAAGTAGGATTAAATGTCATTGACAGTCAACAGAAAAAAGAAGACTCAGTTAAGTACTTTTTTCTTGTTTTTCTTGTGTATTCTTTAGTTGTCATTATAAAAATAGCTGACTTGTAAAAATAGGAAACTTTTTATGTTAGTTAGGGTTAGATTAGGTGAAATGAATAATAATAATATATTAAAATGTTTTCATGAGGTATGTTCGTAAGTAACTCATGCATAATATAATTTGGTAGCATAATGTGAGCTGCACATTCACCAAGTGATTTACAACTTATAATGGCACAATTAGTAATTAGTCAGGGTTCACAGGGCAATAAAACAATAAAATATAAGTATAAATAGATGTATACTATTACAAGTGTAAAGCTATTTATGATAAACAAATGTAGTTTCATATTACAATTTGAAATCATTCTAAAAAGAAAAAATGGGTAATTGAGATTTATTTTAACTTTTTTTTTGGTGGTTATGAAGTCAGGGTAGAGAAAATAGCAGATTAAATGTAAAGTTTTACTGAAAAAATATTTAAAATTTATTTAGTAGGTTTCAGAGGTTACACAAATAAAATTTGAAATTTTTTAGACAAAGAAAAGTATTTGTAATCTTAACATGGAAATCACTTAGCACTCAGACTAGTATATAGAAGTACTATATATATATTCATGAACAGATCTTTAGTAAAAATACTTCATTAAAAATTTTGATTTTTTTGTGTGGTAAAGACTTGTAATGTTTACTAAAAGTCTGTCAAATTTTGTGAAGATACACAAAGTGTATTAAAAGTTATAGTATGAAAACTATAATGAGTACAAAATAGTTATGAAGTTGTTTGATTCAACTTGCTTTGTAGCAAGTGGGTTATTTGGTTTACACCTACATAAAATCCTTGTAGCAGCAGGTGCTTCTGGCCAGCTGCTATCCCTCAAAATTAGTAGTGCTGGCTACAGCTGAACCCTAGAGATCTCTGACTAGACATTGTGCACATAAGATGATATTCAGGTTAAAAATCCAGTTATACATTTTTAAATTTGTGAAATTTTATATATTAAGACAAGATGTCAAAAACATATATTTCCTTAAAATACTCACAGTATGTTTCATTATTTTAGCAATGGGAACTGATTGTTAAATAATTTTCTTGATTTAGATTAATTGTATGAATAACAGCGGCTGCTTGAAACTAGAGTATATCTTAATATCATGTGTATTATTCAAATATGGCAACTAACTTAGATGCACATATCTGTTAGATTATTTCTTTGAAAGATACACTATCTAACATAATTCAAAGTACAAACATCTTTTATTATTTTATGTGTTTTTTAATGTATGTGGTTCTCCATAACAGGGAACTTACCCTCTGATTTTGGTAACACCAGAAAGAGCAACAATTCTGAAATGTTTAGAACTCAGTGAAGCTTTCAGTGATGAACCACTAGAGGATGTACAGGTAATAGTCATGGGTTATGCATTAAATGTTTATACTTTAACTGTGTCTTGAAAATTTTTTAACTGTTTTAAGCTAAATTTTATATCAACTGCTTTGCTGGTTAAATAGTTGAATAAAAAGATTTCAACTTCATTTGACAGTAGTAAATATTTTCTGTTTGAAACACATGAAATTCTGGATAGAACTGTGAATTACCAGTTTGTTTTTCCTTGTTTCTATAAGTGTGATTTTCTTTTCTGATCTCTAAACATTTTTATTTTGTACTGTTATAATTTGAGCTAAGTCTCTTTATGGAATAACATGTTTATATCATTGAAACCAATGCAACACATCCAAGTTCTAATGAACCTTTTAGCGTTTTGATATTATTTTTGGCATGTCAAATATCTTTCTTAAATTTGCTGAAAGTTCCTAATGAGTATAGGAGCCTGTGTAAAGTAACTGACTTTTATCTTTTCAATAGTCAGATATAATAATAAACAATTCTCCTATTGCCAGATTTATTTTTAGATACACAATAAAAAAAGAAAAATGTGAATACTTTAACATTTCATTACTTATCTGTAACTTGACACTGGTTAACTTCAAGGTGGTACAAAATTCCAAACTCATATATTAGTGCTGTAGAAAGGACTTGCATGTTTCTATGGCAATGAAAGAGTTAAACAAACTTTTATATTCATTGATAGAGAGAGAGAAAGTGAGTAAGTTAAAGTGTTTAAAATAGATCCTGGCCTAATATTTTACTAGCATACAGTTCACTTTATCAAATAATATAGAAATTCTGGACATTACTTGCTTACTAGTGATTACCTTGAATACATGATGAAATTCAGGAAAAAAAGTACAGAAGTTGTGGCTTATGAATGATAGTTCTATGAGTAATAGCCTTTGTTCACTATTGCATATCCATTATGTAAGAATATTTGTGACAACAAGAGTTTCTAAAATCTAGTATTTGGAAGGACGTTTGGTAATTTATTGCAGATGGAATGAAAAAAACACAACAATGATTAATAAAAATAATCACTTTATTAGTCTAAATAGATGGATGTCTTTGAAAAAACTGATTAAGGTGGTAAAAATTGCTGAAACTAAAGATTGTGGAAGAAAAACTGTTTGGATGAAAATAAACTGTATTTTAAGATGAATTAAAAACTGTATTAGAAATGAAAAATAAATTGTTTCTTATTGAACTTAATTTGAAGTGATGTTACAGATTTTACATGTACAGTCAATAGAAACAACACTAACTTTACTGAAGGAAAATGCAGACAGAACTTCAGAGGGAGTCCTGGCTTTAGTCAAAATGAGACTTGTATTAAAGCTTTTCTCATAAATCACATTTTCTCTGCATCAAACCAATCGCAAATTAAATCTTAATATTCAAAGACATTATGCTTCATGTGGCAGTCATAAAACAGTGCCACATACACAATGTGATGTAAGATAAGATATAACTGTCCCACGAAACTGTAGATAGTTTCTTGACTAAATCATACTGTAAAAAGTAACACTTAGAAGTGAATTAGTGTACATCCTCAACTAGATTTATCAAGTTTTGAACTAGAAAATTTCAAAACAATTTTAATATGAAACATATACTGCAGAAGAGTGAGGTGGCTCCATACCACACCTTCTGACATTGTACAAGTATTTTAAAATATTTTTTTCAGACTTAACTGTATTTCATTTGTGTATCATATAACAATAAAAACTGCAATATAGAGTAATTCATGAAAGGGGAACAGTTTATACTAAACTGTAACAAATATATTCAGTTAAATCTTTCATAATACTAATAATCTACCAGCAGAGGGCAGTATAGTACATTTGTAGTTTGTTTGTTTGCTTTGTGTGTGTAGAAAAACCTGTTACTGAGTCATGCTACTACAAAATCTTTTATCCAGAAAATATAGCATTTACATTTACCATCTAATCTAGTTTTGTTGTTTTAGTTTTATGGAGACCTCTATCATCTGTTGATGGGAAGAGCTTCTAACTCTGCAAAAGAACTGATAGCAGACAGTAAAGCAGAACTGTACAGTGGAGTATTCAACATCTTGTCATCCCTCAAGATTCTAAGTTTTTCCTGAATTACAGAAATACCTAAAACTTCTGTATTAACTTAAAATGCAGGCAATTCTTAGTATTATTCATGTACCTCGCATTTTATTGTTTTTATTTTTCATTTATAAACTATGTATGCTCAGTTGTCTGTTACTTTTTTAAATATAAAGTGTGTTCCAGTATTATGTTGCACATCTTTAGTAAAGCAACCTTTGTCTACCACATTCAGCAGTCCACCTGCACTTTTCCAACATATATTTGTCTGACCATTTTTTACACAGCACATGGAATGTAAAAAACCCCACTAATGTCATATACACTAATGATACATTGGTAAGGGACATTGTATTTTTATACAAGGTCCCACCAACATGCATTTTGAAATATGGTTAATTTTGTTAATAAAACAAACATCATACATTGTAATTAATTTCTTGAAATGTTACAGTTCTTTAATTTGACATTTTTATGGCACCTTGTTATTTATTTATCTTTTTATAGTGGTTAGTTGTTAAAACATAAATTTTAAACTAGTATTTGCTCATATTAGAATGATTATATTTCATTTTATTATTGTATTTTTTCATTATAATATTACATTGTTTTATTATTTATGATATTTTCATTTTGTTAAATTTTATTCACATTTCTTTTGCTAGAAGTATTGATTGCTACATTTCAATAATATTTTTTGTTGTTTTACATTTATTAGCAGAAAAGATTGGATTTTTTTATTTCTGATTTTTAATTAACACCTAAAGCATTTTTGAATCTATTCTTGTCCAACAATTTGGGTATTCTTAGATTGTTCTAGTCATTGCAATTTTATAGCAAGAGAAGAAAGAAATCTTAAAGTTAGATAACACTGTTTCAATAAGCTAGCAGAGTTTGTAAACATTTTAATAAATTGTCAATCACACTAAATTTTTTATACCTTGTAATATAATTAATTGACCTACACTGTTAACACTTACAACAAAATAATGGAATATTAACCGGTCACAATTTATGTTATTTTAATATGAATATTTGAATAGACAAATATTAAGTGAATTTTCTTGAAAAGGTGTAAAATTTAGAAACATAAACCCTATCATCATTTGGTACAAGGAAAATAAAACGAATAATAAAGATTAATTACTAAAGGATAGTTAGAGAGTAACTCAAATTATTTCATGAATAAATATTTCTTACAGCCTGCCTGTACTACTATTTTGTATTAGTAAATCTTGGAGTAGTGTTAAATTTCAATTGTAATATCAAAATACTTATATTTGAGTTCATTTAATATTTATTAGATAACATCTCATAAAGTAGAAATAGTTAATACATGCTTTTCTGATAAAAGAGGCCTAGTGGTTGGCATGCCAGACTGTGGATCCAAGGGTCCACGGAACTCATCCTGTTGCTGGAAAATTATGGTAATTGAGCTCCATACGTTGGAGTCATGAGTCTATTATAAAAGTGATGATCAAATCCTACTATTCAGTATAGTAGTCCAAGAGTTGGCACTGGATACTGTTACCTAGTTGCCTCCCCTCTAGTCTGCCAGCTCAAAATTAAGGATGACTAACATAGAGAGCCCTTGTATAGTTTTGCACAAATATCTGAAACAAACCAAACCTTTCTCATAAAAACAAATACTGTTTTAAAATTTGAAGTGCACATTTGAAACTTTGTGAGAATAGCTTATAAACATTAACAGAATTTGTACAAGGAATTTTTTGTTTGCAAAAACAGTTGTACTCTGTGAATTCAGTTTCATCCAGTGTATTAATTCACTCTTGTTTTGTTCAGTGTACGGTCCAGGGAAAACATATTTATGAAGCAAGAGACCACGAGGCACAACTATGAGCAGTCCTGTAAAAATGTGTAGATAGGTTAATTAAACTGCGAGCAAAAAACATGTCTAATCAGTAGGACTGCCAACTTAGAAGTGGTTAACATGTGTATGATTAGAGAGGGCGCTAGTTACAATAGGGGTAGTGTCGCACTCCTATTGGTGGAGGGTTACTGTATGATCATTTGTATGGAATAATAAGTGGTAGTAACAAGGCTAGTGGCAAGAGAAAATTTGCATCCATAGGGGGCAGTGCAAGTCAAGAAAGCTTTTTGTGAGTGGAGGTAAGATATTGTATCGGAATATACACTTTTGGAATCATACATAATATTAAGTTCTGGAATCAAATGCATTAGAGTTAAAAATCTAAAAAATGGAAACATGCAAAAAAATCTGAAATCAAAGGCTAAAACTACTGTTTATTTGAACATTCATCTTGATTAAGTATTTAAACTTCAAAGCACTTGGTAGGTAACATTTCATTATAAATCAACATTACAGTTAAAGGTTAATCCCTGGACTAATGTGTGTAAAGCAGACAGGGATTGCTGCTCATCTCTGATGATCCATAGAATTTGACATTCATTCTACCGTGGACCTAATGACAATTCCAGGTGCTGCCAGATGTTGGATGATGCACTCTGTCAACATGATTGCTCTGCTTTTCAATATAGGGTATCACAGTCATCCATTGCACTCTCACCAGTGCTGCAGTCATCCGGACTCTCCAACACATTATTTCACTCCACCTTCTAGTGGAGTGTGGGAGTCCTTGTCACTTACCAGTTCATAGCCGCTGAGGTGGTGGATCATAGAGGTCTGCCCTCCTGATGATGCACAATACCACTCAGTTAGAGAGTAAGGCAATGGCATTTTGTGGAGGTCAATGGCATGGCACTTTTCCTACTGTGGATCTGATGTACAATTAGAGATGCTGCCAGGTGTTGGATGTAGCACTCTGTCATATATATATTGTAGTTTGCCTCTTCGGTTGTAACACCCTTTTTCCTGCCATCCTCCAAATGCCGGTTCCTGGGGATCAGGTGTTAGTTGGAAATGGTCCAACCACATATGTCCTCACATTTTTGGCTGGTACCCTTCTCCTACTGCTGACTGGACGATAAATTCCCAATGCTGCTAGGTTTTGGACTGGAGATGCAACCCCCAACTTGTGGTCCCTCTTCCTGTCATCTGCTGGATGTTGGTTCCCTGTGGATCTGGTGCTGGTTGTAGCTGGACAAGACACATGACTTCCCATTTGTGTAAGGCTGGGTACCCTTCTCCTACTGCGGGTGGGATGACAAAATTCCCAATGCTGCCAGGCTTTGTACCAGAGATGAACACCCACCTGGGCTCTCATTCCTTCCTACCATCTGCCATATGTCAGTTCCTGGTGGATCTGGTGTTGGTTGTGTTCAGAGTGGGCACATGTGGAGACAGGTTCTTGGTACGGGAACTCCTCTTCCCTGCCAGTACCCATTTTTGAGGTGAAAGGTAGAGGACCCACTTTATACCATGGACTTAATGTACAATTCCAGATGCCACCAGGTGTTGGTTTGAGGTTGAACTCCCATTTACGATCTGTCACACCCTAGCCACTCTGCACCAGGAATCCTAGTATTTCTGTATTTTTTAGGACCCCTCCAAGTTTCTGCCTTTTACCTTTTGGCAACACATTACTGAAGGGCAAATAGTATACCTGGCTCAGAAGTGGTGTGGTTTCCCACTGGTGTGTTGGTTTTAATTCCTTATCACACCTCATGGTCTTCCTTTCAGCACTTTCTAAAGGGGGATCATCTTCTCACTGACCATCCACCAATTCAATGTGGTATTCTAGTTTTTTGTGAGAAGAGGTAAAATATCGTATTGGAAATTAACATTTTCCTAAACTGAAAATGTATTTCTGTTAAGATACTTACCTCCTCTCACATTTCTCACCTGTCCTCCCCACTTCCAGTGTGATTTGATTTGGTTAGTTATGACCAATCTCAAAGTGATTAACATGTGCATGATTAGAGAGGGCGCTAGTTACATTAGGGGTAGTTTGGGTTGCTGCATGATCATTTGGATGTTAATATGCAGTAATAAGTAGGAATAGCAAGGCTAATGGTGAGCAAAAATTTGCACCAATAGAGAGCAGTACAAGTTGAGAAAGCTCTTTGTGAGTGCAGGTATCTATCGGAAATACATTTTCAGTTTAGGAAAATGTTATCTTTTGTGATTTTAATGTGAGTTCAGGGATATATTTATTGTGATAATTCATTTCTTGTCAGTTGTTTTGTGATAAAATTTTACATAAAGCAAAAGTATATAAAGTAAATTAGACAGTATACAGTGTTCTTTTGTTGGCTTACACATTTCAAGTAAATAATTTTTTTCAGGTTTTCTGAAAATGTGGTTTATTTATTTCAGTATATATATTATTATTTTAGAGTTCTACTATTTGTGGTGTGCCTTATTTTTTAAAGTAACAATATTTGTATTTCAAATATTTTAATCATACATCTTGTATACATTAAACAAATAGTGTACTTCTGAAAAATTTTCAGCTTGTTGTTTATTTTTCAACAGCATTATTAAGGACTTGATTTAAAAACCCCATATTTTTATTGACATTTAATATCCCACACTTACCCGTTTATATTAAGAGTCAAGGTTAACCCAGCTCATTTGCCCTGCCAATATAATTTTAGCCCTATAATTCTAGGTTTTTTTATTTGTTTTTTTCTGTACACCGAGAATGTTATTTTTTTAGTAATACATGTACATATGAGGTTTCTAAAAAGTCACCCAGTGGTATGTTCTGAAGATTAGATGAAAGCAACTACTATTTCAGCATTTGTGATTTTGCACTGCTGCAGTTAATAAATTAATAGGTTGTGAAAGAACAGAAAAATAATGTTGAAAGGGAAGAATGAGATAAATCTGATGACAAAAAGATAGGTAATGTGGAACATGAATTGATCATATAATTAGCTGAAGTTCCATCAATAAAGAAAAGATAAAAGTATTTTATTACTTTAGAAGTTGTAGGCTAATTTGTAATAAGGTTGGGTTCATTATGTGAAGATTGTGCTTCTACAAAGTATTAGCTTCATGTAGTTATTTGTTCTTATCATCATAAGATGATGCAAATGGTTCATTTTTCAATCTGTTTTGTTGAAAATGTGGGTAATATATTTGCTCCTACAGACTAGTAGATTATTTTGGGAGTTTCTTTCAAAATGTCTAAACTTGATGGAGTGATTTCTTTTAACTGAACCATTTGAGTTGCATGCTAATGAAAAAATTAGATTTTAATTTTTTATAGTATGATGTTTTTTGAGTGTGATTAGTTTGACTTTGATTTCTATCCAAAAACTAATATGCTATTAGAATAACAGATGTTAATTGTTAGATATATGGATGTTATGTTACGTATTGAGAATTTAAAATAATCTGAAGCCGATATTTTAGTTAATTTATGCTATTTGCCAACAAGATTGACACACACCATCTTCGTTTTTCACAAATACATTTCAATATATATATATACAACAGTAAACTTTACAATAGCAACTATTGTGATTAATTATTACAAACAAAGTTTCATAAACAGAGAAT